TTTAAGTCTTTGCCTTCATTGCGGCTCGTCTCCGGTCAGGTTAAGGCCGGAGAACCAGCGTTACAGTATGACTGCTCGTTCAATGTATATATTGGCCTTTCCATGGCCCGCCAATTTATGATCGTGCAACGTGCGTAAAATGCCTGTACGAAGCGGAGCTGGCACGCACAGTCGGCGGAGCTGAATCCTTCTCCAGTGGCACAGGAGATAGTTGTCTATGGTGTAATGCTTACACACTTGTCCGTCATTCAGTTTAGCGCGAATTGCAGCCGCTTGGGCTTCTGAGGAGTAGGAGTAATGCAATTTAGAAACGAAACGGGGAGCATCGCTAAAACGCCTAGCAGAAGGGCGTTATCCATGACCTGCAAGCACTCAGTTGAGCGCGCCAGTGACCACTTTGGTGATATCATCGACGTACTTGACCGTGAAGTCGTACTGCGTGAGCCGGGCACGCCACCGAAGAGCACTTTCATTATCGAGCCACGCTGTACCTCCACGCGTAGGAATCCTCGACCCTGTTTGAAAGCCGTCTCGATCTGCAATAAAGTCAAAATATTAAAGATAAGGATCCCCACAGAATAGCTGACATCCTCGCCAGTCTACAGGCGGCCTGGGCTGACGGTTAAAATGCCTGTGGCTGGGGGAGAGAAGGCAGAATGGCCTCGCTGCAAGGCAGCCCCAATTGAGAGCAAAACCAAACCCTGAGCTGTGCTTTGTTGCATGCACTAACAATATAGACAGTTATTGAGTAGTTAAAGGCGTCCATATCCGGTCTTGACGCAAGTAGAGAGATGCGTAAACAGACCCTGCCACAGGCCGCATCCTCTCACATCAACCACAAGCCCCTACGCCGCTGTGTTCAGGACGCCTAGCAACTGAGGAGGTCAGCTGCTTTTAAAAATCACATCTTAATTATATGTGACCCCGTTGCAGCTAACGACGGTATTCGCATAATCTCGGAGGGTTTCAGTACAGCCTTCACGACTAATCACACCTATACGCCAGGCTGCCCTGCTGGAGGCGACGAATTCGTTGCTCTCACTTGCCCCAATGAACCATGCAGTGTTACAAGTTATAACGATACTCCTCGTAAGGCCAACATACATGAGGTTGGAGTCTTCAAGAAGGACTTGCCTTCCCGTTTAGTCGTCAGAAGACCTGAGACCGGTGGCTTAAGCGCCTGGGGGGGAGGGCATCGTAGGAAGCGTGGCAGCGCACCTTGCCGCAACGAGTGCTGAAGGGCATCCTCACAAACACGCACACCAACCGCCCCTTTCAGGGGAGGCTAACACTGTAGACAGTTGTTAAACATTTACTTGGCCCTCAGTAGGCAACCTCCACGCACGTAGAAAACCTTTTTCCAACTTCGGCGAGAACATGCTGCAATCCACAGTCTTCGCGACACAGAGCCACAAGCCCACCACAGGCCCGCGTAGTGCTATAAAGTCCGTCACGATTCAAATGGGTTTTCCTTTGAAATTCGACAACTCACCAGTAACTTCTGCGGGAAAAGCTAGAAAAAAAGGCTACGCGCTGCAGGCCCTTCTGGGGTCTTCGCTCGATACCCCTGCGCGGGCCCCCCAGTTTTATGTCTCCGCGCGCCGTCCTTGTTGAGCTGAAACGTCGGCTCTCGGTCCTTCCATCTCCTTCATAATAAGCGTATATAGCAATATTCACCCGGTTTCCCCATCGCTTTGCTTGCAAAGGTTGAACTGGGCGTCGTTGCCCGTGTGTCGCCGCCTTGTGGGTGCACGGCTGCCTTCGTCGGCGGACCGCCAGCATTTTTTGCGGTTGTTTGGTTCTGTCTTTTTCCAGTGGCAGCTCCTTTTCTTCTTTTTGCTGCAGGGAAATTCTTTAGCTTTCCGGCCTCCTCGCCCTTTTGCAGAAAACCGCTGAGACATCGCTGCTGCTGCTCGGTGGGATCGCGCGCGCCGTACCGGGTGTCTCCCTCGCTGTTTCGACTCCTGCTGTAGATTCTCCTCTTCTTCTCTTTCAAATTCTTCTTTTCCTTTCCTTTTTACTCTTCTGCTCATGCAACATCTCCCCATATTCTCCCTCGATCCCCTGCCTGCTGCCCGCTGCCCTCTGTTCAGCTGCCGGCCGTTCCCAACCCCGAGCCGGCGGCTCTGTCCCGCACTGGCTAGCTGATGGCCTAGCCAGCTAGCTACCGGACTGGCTAGCCACACAGATGAGGGTGCAGCTGCTGCATGTTCCCGCAGGAGACGCCTTCGTGGCCCTGTTGCTGCCGGCCTTCGTCTCGACGGTGTATGGCGGATTTCTGCTTGCTGCAGTGCTGCAGCAAGAGCAGGCTTCCCCCCCCTTAGACCCGCACCCGCTTTGGGGGCCTCTAGCTGTGGCTCTAGGGAGCGCCTTGTGCTTCAGCTTACTGCTGGGTCTTGCCGGCCCCTATGCCGCTAGCGACTCCATCCCTGCAGCGGACTTGTGGTTGCTGCTTGGACTGCTGCTGCCGGCCCTCGCCGCTGCTCTTACAATCGGTCCTCCTTCTCTCGGGCTTACCCCAGTTAAGCTGTATGGGGTCCCGTATCTGTCTGCAACAGTTGGGCTGTACTGCTTCGCCGGGCTGTCACCATTGCTGCTGCTGCTGCTTGCCGCAGCAGCGGCAGCCATATGCGCTGCGCAGGCCGCTCGATGGGGCGCCGGTGCTGCTGACCAGGTCCTGAACTCCCTGCATGCAACAGCAGCAAACTTCCTGGGGTGGTGTCTTTGGTCGCGAATATGGCAAGAGGCGGTGGCGCTGCTGGTTGCTGAGCTGCTGCCGTATCAGTCCGCCTGCTCGGTGCTTCCAGGCCTAGAGGCATACGAGCTTCGGGTTCTCAAGGCTCAACGCAATCACGTTCCATCTGCTTCTGCTGATCCTGCTGCTGATGCTCCTGCAGCGCTTCCTCCTGGCCGCGCTTCTCCTGCAACAGTAACAGGAATACCCGCAGTTGCTGCAGAAACACCGGTTGCTGCCGATACCACAGCAGCAGCTGCAGCAGGCGACGATGCCACTGCAGCACACTCGAACAGAACTCGCTGGCCAAGGCCCGGCTTCGCGCTCTCTTCTGGAGATGTGCAGCAACAGCAGCAGCAGCAACGGCTGCAACAACAACTTCAACAGCAGCTGTACTCGTCATCCTACGAGACGCTTCCTAGAAATCCCAGGGCTCCTCTGTCTCCGCGGCTGCAGCAGCAGCAGCAAACGCACCAAAATCAAGTAAGGCGCCGCGCACCAGCAGCAACTGACCTCTATCTCCCCCGCAGCTACTCTTCTTTTATAGCAGAGCCAGCACCCGTGCCCCCGCAGCGTCATCAGCTGCAGCACGGTCCCCACCTGCAGCAGCAAGAGCAGCCTCACCAGTTCTTCGACCAGCAACTACAGCAGCAGCAGAAAGAACCGCAACAGATGGAGCAGCAGCAACAACGACAGCAGCAGCATAAACAGGCACACTTCACGGACTCCTCCCGATGTTGCTCCCCTAAATCCCCCGTTGACGGTGATATAGCTGCAGCAACAGGAACAGAAGGTGCAGCAACAGCAGCAGCACTGGCTGCTCCGCATGCAAAGGCTCCTGTAGCAAAGCTCATCCAATCGCCCCTTCATAGCTCTCAGCCGCCACAGGAGCACCACCAACTGCAACAAGAGCAAGATGTCCAACCCCATCCTCAACCTGACTGGCACCAGCACCTCGAGCAGCAGCAGCAGGACAGCGGGAGGCAGAATCAGCAGCAGCAGCAGCAGCAGAACCACGATAAGCAGCAGCGGCAGCAGCAGGACAACGATAAGCAGCAGCAGCAGCAGGACCACGAGAAGCAGCGGAAGCAGCAGGGCCACGATAAGCAGCAGCAGCAGCAGGACCACGAGGAGCAGTGGCAGCAGCAGGACCACGATAAGCAGCAGCAGCAGCAGGACTACGACAAGCAGCGGCAGCAGCAGGACCACGAGAGGCAGCGGCGGCAGCAGGACCACGAGAAGCAGCAGCAACAGGAGCAGGACAACGAGAAGCAGCAGCAACCGGAGCAGGACAACGAGAAGCAGCAGCAAGAGCAGCAGGACAACGAGAAGCAGCAGCAGCAGCGGCAGGACCACGAGAAGCAGCAGCAGAAACATCAGCAACAAGACGAGCAGCAGAGGCCGAAGCAAAGCCCCCTAATGCTGCAGGAAACCAGAGGCACCCACACACGCGTTCGCACCAGGCGCCAGCATACGACACCCTCCACGCTACTGCAGAGCGTTGCTGAAGCAGCAGCAGCACCAGCAGCGCCGCCACTAGCAGTAGCACTGGATTGGGAAGTCAGGGGAACAGCCAAAGGAACTGAAGAGCACAAAACAACAACACGGCGACAGTCCTTACCAAGGTTGAGTCCGCCTCCATCCGCCTCCGCACGCCAGCAGCAGCAGCAGCACAGGCAGCGGCATTCGATTGCCTGGATCCCACCTCACCCTTTAGATGCAACGACGATCGGTGCGCCGTTAGCTGTGGCTGGTGCAACAACAGGTGCAGCAGCGGCTGCAGCAGCAGCTGCTGCTGCTGCCGCAGCAGCAGCAGCAGCCGGCGTCGCTGCTGAGACCGCTCAGTTGTGGCGCTTTGGTGGCCTGGAATTGCCCCCTGCAGAGGTCAGCGGTTCTGCTCCTCCTTCTGTAGCAGCATCTGCAGTAGCAGCAGCAGCAAGGCCCCGTCGCGGGAGCGCACATCAAGGAGGCAGCAGCAGCAGGAGCAGCAGTGGGGTACAGCCAGCAGACTGTGCTGGCCGAGAGCTTCTTTACAAGCCCACGTGGGACCCTCGCGTGGAGTCTGGTGGCGCTGGGATCCGTGCGGCTCCTTCAGCAGCAGCAGCACCGGCAGCAGCAACAACCCAAGCTGGAGGAGCAGCAACAACTGCGGGCGCCACCGCTACTGCTTCAGCAGTTGCTGCTACAGTGGCCAGCATGCGGAGCCCCGCTGCTGCTCTTAAGAAGGCCGCAAGGCGGCTGGTTGTACTCCACAGCACCACGCGAACAGTGGCGTTGAAGAAGAGGTGGTTAGTAAGGCGATCACTGCAGCAGCAGCAGCAACAGCAACAGCAGCAGCACCTGCTACACGTGCTGCAAATGCAGCAAAAGCAAACCCCAGCAGCCGTAGACAAGGGGCCTTTCCCAGCGCAGCGTCTAAGAGGGGGCAGCAGCAGCTGCAGCAGCCTTTGCCGCAGCAGCAGCCAGATCTCCGCATCTCTTCATGCCGCAGTAGCAGCAGGTGCAGCCCTTACGGCTCCTCACCTCTCTACAGGCGCCCTTGGGCTAGGCAGCAGCAGCAGGAGAGGCAGCTGCTGCAGCAGCACTTACCTGTCCAGCTCAAGTGCTGCTGGCCTCCCAACAGCTGACTTGCCGGCCTCTTCCGTTGCTCCTCCCTCAGCTTGCGCTTCTCCGGGAGCGACCCCTGCTTCTCTTTCCGGCGGCGTTGCCGCTGCTGCTGCTCCCGCTGGGCCAGCACCTACCCCGAGAAGCAGCAACAGGACTGCAGAGCTGCGCCTGCAGCAGCAGAGGTTGCAGTGGTTGCAGCAGCGACTCGCCGAGAACGAAATAGACAATCTCTTCGTCGAGTCCCTCGACGCTTGCTGGGAGTGTTGCTGGCGCCTCTGCCAGGATGCCCCGTCTGCGCCTGCTGCCACTGCTGCAGTCCCTGCAGCAGCTGCTCCAGCAGCCACTGCGATCCCAGCTGCTGCTGAGGCTTTAGGTTTAGGTGCGGCTGTAAGGGGGGACCACGAGCAGCAGCAACAGTATCTGGATCGCCGCCATCCGGTGCCGCCTTCAGTGATGCAACAGCAGCAGCAGCAGCAGCAGCTCCAGCAGCTCGAGCAGCAGCCACAGCAACAGCGGCAGCAGCTATTGCTGCAGCAAGAGCCAGAAACCCAACTGCTTAGTGGGCAGGCTGATGCGACTTCTTGCCTCTCAGCAGTGCGGGCTATGGGAGCGCTGGAAGCTGCAGCGTAAGACGTTGCTGCACCTGGAGTTTCGCGCCTGCATTTCGGTCCCTTTATCTCTCGTTTCACTCATTTACTCCGTGCTTTAGCGTGCACCAGCAATTCACTGCTGGCTCAGTGTCGTTCGTATTCGCATCGTGTGTATGTGTATGTGTGTGTATGGGTGGGTGGGTGTGTGGGTGGGTTGGAGGGTGGGTGGGTCTGGGTCTGGGTCTGGGTCTGGGCCTGTGTTTGTGTTCGGGCTTGCGGGTGGGGGTGCGGGTGTGCCGGCGGGTGTGGGTGGGTGTGCGTGGGTTGGCGTGTGCGGGTGTCTGTGCTGGTGGGTCAGTGTGGATGTGGGTGTGTACTTCGTCCCGCCTATCTACTTTGCTCGCTTCTCATGTTGCTGCTGCCTCCGCGACTGCTGTGGTTTCTGCGGCGGTTGCTGCATTTTGCTTCTGCTGCTGCTGCAGCGACGCTGCTGCGTCAATGTTTGTGCGGTTGGTGCAGACGTCTGCAACAGTGGAGGAAGCAGCAAAAGACGGGGGGGTCTGCGCTGCCGCAGCATCTGCTGCAGCAAATTATATGCAACGCGGCATCAGCCGCAATAGCAGCACCAGCTGCTGCTGGTGTTGCAACACTATCCGATGCAGCAGAATCTGCAGCAGGTTGGAGGGCAGCACCAAAGAAGGGCAGCCTGAAAACTGTTCGTGTAGACCCCCGTGTGGCCTTCATCCAGCCACAGCAGCAGCTGCACCACTGGCGGCAGCAGGAAGCAGGGGGAAGGCTACGCTTCCGCGGGAACGTTTTGCGGGGGCCTATGCGGTGTATGTACAGCGCAAAACGTGTAAGGACTCCGACGAAAGACGAGAGGCAGCAAGAAGCTGTTGCCTTTGTCCTGACAAGGGAACTCCTGAGGAGGGAGCGGCAAGGGCCGCAGCCCGGGCCCCTTGCGTCTGCAGCAGCAGCAGCTGCTGCTGCTGCTGCCCCGCAGGTGCAGCAGCAGCAAGGAGTATGCCCAAGTTCCACGCAGCGAGCCCTAAGGGGAAGCAGGGCGCACAGCAGCAACCGCTGCGGCAGTGACAGCAGCATCTGCAACACACCCAACAGCCAACATGCAGGGATATGGATTGGAGGCCACACTCCGGCAAACCTCCCTTCTGCAGCAATAACTACAATGGCGACACCTGCAGCAGCAACAGCAGCGACAGCACCGACAGTGCCAACAGCACCAACAGCAGAAACGACAATAACAAGAAAGTGGTGTGAGTCAGATAATCAACTGAAGACGCACGCTAGGACCGGCAGGTTCTCCTTGGAAAAACCTGCACAGAGAAACTGCACAGCAACAGCAGAGGCCAACGCAGCAGCAGTAACAGAACGGGAAGAGTGTGGCATACGCGAGGGAGAGACAGGAAAGGGACGCACGAGCCACAGGCGACGGCTGCAGCTGTCTCTCTGCTGCAAAGCAACAGCTGCTGCTTTCTTCCTGCGGCTGCAGCATGCAGTGGCAGTTGTTGCTGCTGCTAGCCTGCTGGCGCAGGAGACCCGCCGCAGCATTCCGCCCCCCATGCCGCTGCAGCGTGTGACAGTGGGCTTTGCGGACGCTGCAATTGAGGAGTGAGCAGCGCGAAGCCGCAGTTGCAACTGCACCCTGGTGCTGCTGCTGCTTCTGTTTTTGCTGTCTGCAGCAGCATCAGATGCTCTCGGGAAGTGGGTAGAGGATAGGGCTGCTGCTGTGCCCAAGCCCTTCCGGACTACTGCTGCTGCTGGAATGTCTCTGCTTTTGTGCTGCAGGCAATATTGCGCCTGGCGAGTCGGGTGGATGGAGCGGAAGCGGCTCAGCAGCTGCAGCAAGCCGGCACTGTTACTGTGGGGATTATTCAGTTTGCTTCTGCCTGCTGCTGCCTTTTGGTGGGCCTTGGATGGTGTGATTGGTGGCAGCAAGCAGCAGCACCAGGACCAATACCTTTTCTATAGCTTCAAGTTCTATGCTGCTTTAAGACTGATGCTGCAGCTGGGCGGAGAGGCAACTCTGTTCCTGTTTCTTCCTTGTAGCGGCACAAACAGCGACAGTAGCAAGAACAGTAATAAGGGTAGTAGCAGCAACCATGACAGCAGCAGCGGCGCCCAGACCAATGCCTATATGCGCTGCTTAGTGTCGTATTTATTCCACCTAAGGTACGTTACGAAATGAAGCAGTACTCACACCGCCGCTGCTGCTGCTGCTGCTGCAGCTGCTGCAGCTGCTGCAGCTGCGGCTGAGGGATTAGGAACAGAACGCTTGCCATCTTGCTGCTGTTCCTGCAGGCTCTTTCTCTCTTTGTTGGATGTACCCTTTCAGTTGCAGTTCTTATCGCTTCAGCAACAGGCAGTCGAGGATTTGGTGGTTTATGGGCCTCTGCTGCTACAACTTGCAGCAGCAGCCTTGCAGCAGCAGCAACAGCAGCGGCACGCATATCTCCTGTTTGTAATATACTATGCTGGGTACTGCTGCATCGTCGTTGTTACTCTGGTTCTCATAGAGAGTCATGTTCTTCAGGGGCCACCTGCCTTCTCTCTTTTGCTGCTGCTCCTGCGCAGCGGAGCTGCATTCTCTGCCATCTGGTCCGTGCTGCATTGTGTTGTGCTGCGGTGAGTTGCCTGTACACCTGACGTAACCTGCCCCAGCTTCACAGGTAACTGCGGAAGGTAACCACAGAGCCCAGCTAGCCGTGCAGCCCAGCTAGCCAAACGGGCCCACAAGTGTCAGCGAGCGATGAGCAACCAACAGCAGGAATTCGCTGCTAGCTGCAGTGTTTCCGAAGTGTTGCAGTTGCAGAGAGGTGCAGCAGAGATGGGAGCAGCTGTAGCAGCAGCGACTGGCATCCATAACCCAACCAGCCAGCTAGCTAGCTAGCAGAATTTTAGTTAGTTGGCTTGGGGGGACAGGCTCAAAGTTCTGTACAAACTGTTACCGGCTACAAAATAATTCCTGCTGCTGCTGCTGCTGTTGTTGTTGCTGTTGTTGCTGTCGTTGCTGCTGTTCAGCACGGAGGAAAAGTGCAGCAGATGCGTCTTCTCAACAACAGTGCTGCCCTACTTGCTTCGGCTGGAGGCAGCAAACTGCTGCGCCTGCTGTACGTACAATGCATCGAGAGCACCAGATCAACCAGAAGCCCACACAGGAGAGGCAACAGCAGCAACTCAGGTAGCAGCACCAGCAGCAGTAGAAGAGTCTCGATCTGGTGCCTTCAAGACAAAGCAGCAGCTGGTTCCTCCCCAGCAGCAACATGGACTGCTGCAGCAGATGCAGCAGCAGGACAAACCGTCTGAATGTGCAGCAACCGGGACGCAGAGGAGCAGCCAAATGTCCCAAGACAGCAAACAGCAACGAAGCAGGAAAAGCCAAATACAGTTGCGCAGCACTGCTTCACATCCCCCCCGTGCACCTTCAAACAAAAGCAGCAGCAGCGCTAGCAGCATCAGAGCAACAGCTGCCACGACAGCACGCAAGCCTAGATTCTTCCATAGGATCACCGAAGTCCTCTTTAATATAGGTCGAAGACTCCAGAGATTCCTTCGCCAGCATCGGAAGCCCATGAGAGAGGGCAGCTTGGAGCAGCAGCGCGAGCAGCAGCAGCAGCAACGGGAGTGGAAACACCAAGACAGCCATCAGCTGCGACGCTGCTGTTCTACAGGCCCCTTCATGGGAAGAGAAGAGGAAGCAGCAACGCCTGCTGAAGATAATGCTGCTGCTGCTGCCACTGCGTGGTCTGACCTGGAGCCCTCGCGCGCCTATAGAGAGCTGGTTGACAGCCTCCCATCGCCAAGTCGAAGACAGCGCCATCGCCACAGCAGCAGCAGCAGTAGCAGCAGCAGCACCATCTGGGAGCCCCGCCGTCCCATTGGGCTGAGACGCAAAGGTGTCGATACACCTGAGCCGTCGAGACGGCCACCCAACAAGGTCTCGAAGATGCTGTGCTGCTGCATCCGGCGACGCTCGTCACGAGCAGGAACAGCAGCACCAACAGCAGCAGCAACAGCAACAGCAACAGCACCGGCAGCAGCAGCAACGACACTTGCTGCTACTGCCCCTGCTGCGGTTTCCGTCACCTCTGCCGCCCCATTGCCCGAACCTCGGGCGATTTCGAAACAGAGTAGCATCAGTAGCAGCAACAGCCGCAATAGCAGCAGCAGCACACCTATGGCTCCAGCCGACAACGTCAGCACCTGGAAATGGAGGATACGGAGCGAAAGTGGTTGTTCTCTGCAACAGCAGCAACAGCAGCTGCGTCTCAGCAGCAGTAGCAGCAGCAGCAGCAGACGGGCCGTATGGACACTTGTGCAGCTGTCAAATGAAGCAGGCCAAGACAGCAGCGCCATACGGGCTCCTACTCGCCTTGGTACTGCATTCATGCTGCTTTTGTGCTGTTGCTGCTGCTTCTTTTGCTGCTTTTGCTTCTGCTGCTGCTGTTATGGATGCTACTTTTCCTGCTGTCTCCCTGTACACTTTTCCAAGATAGTATTGCCTGCTGCTGCAGCTTCATAATGGCGTTGCGTGCATCTGCAGGTCTGGAAACGGTGCGTGAGGCCACGGCATTCGTGCAGCAGAAGGAGCAGCAGCAAAACAAGAAGATGATGCTTCAGCGTGTGCACACACGGCTGTTGACCCTCCACAAAGGCTCCAGGCGCCAACAAAAATCTCCTACCTCTTCATTTCCATCACCAGCAGCAGCCGCAGTTGCTGCTGCTGCTGCCTCTTTCTCTTTACGTGATGGGCAGCCCTGGAGCCGACTGCAAACCCTGAGGTTCTCTAACAGAAACGGCAGCAACAGTAGCAGCAGTAACTTATGGCTAAGGGGGAATAGCATCAAAGAGAGTCCCCTCAGCAAGCGGACTGGAGAGGCAGTGCGGCTGCAGAGTCGCCCGTTGCTGCACCAGTTGTCGGAGTGGCAGAAGCGCAGCAACAGCAGCAGCAGCAGCAGCAGCGGAAGCAGGATGTGGGGTGACACAGGGGCAGCACCCCCTGTACACCCGGTCCGGTCAGTAGCAAAGCAAACAGCACAAGCGTCTTATCGCTTCCCGCTCTTTTCGACTCGCGCTCCTGCTGCTGCGCCTGCTACAGCTGCTGCTGCAGGACAAACCCCTGCTACTGCTGTATCTTTAGGCACTGGAAGATTTATGAGGGGAGAGGAGAACAGCCCACATGGGGACAGTAACAGGTCAGCAGCAACAGCATCAGCAGGTGCACTCTGCAGGTGTACCGACGCCGCTATCTCCAGTTGGGGCACCAAGAGGCAGCAAGTAACCACACTGCAGCAGCAGCTGCAGCTGCAACCGTCTCGCACACTATGCATTTCATCTCTCGACCAGCGAGCTGCAGCAGAGGCAGGGTACGGATTAGCCGCTGCTGCTTCAGCAGCGAGAGGCGCAGCAGCAGTACCAGGACGGGCTGAGGCGCGGCCTACCACACCAACTGCTGCAGCAACAGACGTATGGATATCTGTGCCTTCTCTTCACCCCAGTTGGCCTTGCTCTGAGCTGCGGCACAGGCAGCAGCAGGAGCAGCAGCAACAGCAGCAGCTGTGGTTGACCCGCACCGGTTCTGCTGCTCCTCCAGATGTGTCTCCTCAGCTTCACAGGGTCTTTAGCATGCGGCGCCCTGAGAACTACAGCAGCAAACGCAGCGGCAGCAACAACAGCCTCTGGGCAGCAGCAAATACAAGAGAAACCCTGGGGCTAAAGGAGACAGCCCCAGACGCTCTAGAGCATGTCCAAGCCCCCCGTGCATCTCGTCGTCCCTCGTTGTTGCAGCCAGGATGCTGGCAGCGCTCCGCTGCAGCTGCTTCTCCTGCTGCTGCTGCTGCTGCGGCTTCAGCAGCTCCTGCTGCAGTCGACGGCAGTGGATACGGTGGATCGGGGGCCATGAGTAGGGAGCCCCAGCGAGGGAGCAGCACGAGCAGCAGCCAGCAGCAGAGTCAGGACACAGCAGCAGCAGCGCGTGCAACAGCTCGTGCCACTGCTGTTGCATTGGGTCGTGGTGGAAGTGCCCGTGTACGAGCTGCAAAAGAAGGTGCTGCTGTTGTAGCACAGCGAGCAGCAGCAGCAGCTTTAATTGCTGCAGCAGAGGAGGTAGGAGATGGTCTCCCCGACGCGAGACAAGAAGGTAGGGTCTTCTACCCTGACCAGTGCATTCGCGATAGACTTCAGAAGCTCTTTTGGGGGCTCAGTGTCTGAGTAGGAATGTGTACAGAACTTTCTACCCAAAGGGAAAGCTGCTGCTGCTGCTGCTGTAGCATTTGCTTCTGCTGATGCTGCAGTAGCAGCACTTATTGCTGTTGCTGCAGCAGCAGCAGCATTTGCTGCTGTTTCTGCCTCAGCAGCAGCATTTGTTGCTGTTTCTGCTGCAGCAAAAGCATTTGCTGCTGTTTCTGCCTCATCAGCAGCATTTGTTGCCGTTTCTGCTGCAGCAGCAGCATTTGCTGCTGTTTCTGCTGCGGCAGCAGCATTTGCTGCTGTTTCCGCTGCAGCAGCAGCATTTGCTGCTGTTTCTGCTGCAGCGGCAGCAATCGCTGCTCTTGCTGCTGCTGCAGCATGTAATACACCGTCTCCCGCAGCAGCAACCGCTGCTGCAGCCAATGCAGCACCAAACGCATCCCAGCAACAGCACTGCCACCGCATGATGCAGTACGATCCAAAGATTGATTCTGATACGGCAAGAGAGCAACAGCAAGAGAGCAGCACATACTGCATTAGCAGCAGAAAACCAATACATGTGTTGCAGTAACGTGTCATATCAGTAGCCCTTGAGCCCAGCAGCAGCAGCAGCAGCAGCAATAACGGCAGCTACGACAGTTTGCACGGGAATCAATACTGTTGAACCCTGCTGCTGCTAAGGTGTTTGCCGCTGCTGCTGCCTTTGCTGGGCTGCGTAGACATGCTGCCTTCTCGGGAGCCCCATACATACAGGAGCAGCGATAGAAGATAAGGGGGAGCAAGCAAGCGCAGGCAGAGACAAAAATATAAGCAAAAAAAAACAAACAGAGGAGGCAAATCAAGAGAGAAAATCCTGTTTAGGTCCGTAGGAAGATGCAGAGAGAGAGACACAAAAAGTGCGAAGAGTCGCAGCGCAAGGAACTTAAAACTGCACGAGATATATACAAGCACTTAAACCCTAAACCCTAAACCCTAAACCCTAAACCCTCGGCAGCAAAGCGTTCGTGAGCGGACTGCGCGCCGGGGTGGAGGTACATCTTCCCCTAACTCTTCATCAGCTTTTGTTATGAGGTGTTTAGGGTTTGTCTGCTGCAAGCCCTTAGCCTCAGCAGCAGCAGCGTGCAAGCGGATGCAGCAGCAGATAGGAGTTGTAGCGTTAAGTGAAGACAGAAAAAAGAAAAAAAGGAACAGTCAAAGGGGCACAAGGACAGGGACTTCTGTTGGCTGTCACCTCTCAGCTGTGTTGTGTTGTTATTGCTGCTTCTGTTGCTGCGGCTGCTGCTGTTGCAGCATCGACTCCTGCTGCTGCATCTGGTGCATCTGGAGTATCTACTGCATCTGCTTCTGCCGCAGCTGCTGCTGCTGCCGCAGCTGCTGCTGCTGCAACTATTGGTGCTGCTGCTGCTGTTGCATGGAAGCGAGCAGGATGAGGACCCTAAGGAGGAGCTCTGTGGCCGTCTCGCTGCTGGCAGAGACGAGCTGGCCGTCTATGACGAGGCCCTCTGACCCCCCCGGAGCTGCAGCAGTGCGAGCCCCTTCAGCAGCAAAGTGAAGCTCCAGGTGCAGCGGCAGCAGCCCGAAGTAAGGGTGTCTGTACACCCCAAACGGCGTATGTATGCAGACAGACAGACACAGAAACACAGCTAAAACAAACATCTGCAACCAAAGGGCAAAGATATTGCTGTTCATACACCTGAGTGGGCTCAGGTGTATAGGCAGCTTCATGACGGCCCCAAACACACCAACAAACTAAGTGCTCTCATGCAGACGCATGCAGACGCAACGCAGTATTTGCTGACAAGTTGCTTTCGGGGCTAACGAGACACACACCAACGTGCATGCATGCATGCATGTGGGGCTGCGTAAAGAAGAGGTGGAAGCAAAGTCACAGGCAAGTGGGTTGCATCTGTACAGCATGCAGGCGCAGCAGCTGCATGCACGGAAAGCCCCAAACGCCGCTGCACTTCTAAGCCCCACAGCAGCAGCAGCACCAACGGCAACAGCAGCAGAAGCAGCAGCAGCAGAAGCAGCGCCGGCTTACCGCGCCTCCTCAGCAAGAGGGACGGTGGATATGAGGCGGCCAGCCAACGGAAAGCCCTCTGACCCTGCACCCAAAAACAGTACTGCAAAATTAGGGTTTAGGGTTTAGGGTTTAGGGTTTAAGGTTAACGGAGGAGGAGCACGCCGTTGGGCGACAGCAAGCCCCCTTCCCTGCCCTACACCCAGAGCCTGTATTCGCAAGGGTTCTAAACCCTAAACCCTTTACCCTAAACCCTAGAACCTAGACTCTAAACCCTGAAACCTAAACCCTGAACCACCATTCTTACCTGAGAGAGGTTTAGCACATAGGGCGAACGCGCCGTATCCGAGGACCCCAACTGGCTTCTTAAGGGCCCCGAATTCCTTGATGAGGGCCCCCGTGTTGGTGCTGTTATAGAGATCGATTGCTGCACCTAGGTGGTGGGGAAGCAGCAAGCAGCAGTAGTCTGCTGCTGTTGCCTTGCGCAGCTGCTGCGTTTGCTGCAGCTGCTGCAGCAGCATCTCCGCGTCAGCCTCCCGCTGCTTCGATAACAACAACCCCACCTCCTCGAGTGACCCGAAAGAAGCAACAGGAGGGGGGGAACCCGAAGGCGTCACGAACTCTAGGGTGTATCCACAGCTCCTGCATGCCCTGTGCATTGCTAAAAGAGAGGCAAGAGATACTCCTGCCTCGGCAACAAACTCCTTCTCCCCCTTCTGACTTGTGCTGCAGAAATGAACTTCAGAAGAAGCCAACACGCACACCTTACGACAGCCTACAGGGGGCCCCAGGGCCCCCACGGCCCTCCCAGGCACAAGGGGCTCCCCAAGTGGACCCCTGGGGGGCCCCCCGGGGGGCCCTACAAAGGACGCCTCGCCAGTGATGCGTGGGTCTGTCTCACGTGAGTCTTCACCGGGTGGTTGAGAGGTACCCTCGGAGGGCCCCCATGGGGCCCCCGTCTCAGTCGAAAGGCCCTCCATAAGATATGAGGTACAACAGAAACGAACAGACGGAATGGTAGGGGAGCGCTGGGGGGCCCCCCGGGGCCCCCGTGACTGGCTGTGTTCTGGCGGGCAGGCGCTGCACAGAGCCTGGGGTTGTATAGGGTGTTTCACATTGAATAAGGCTTTGAATATGTTATTTGTATCTAATTTAATTCAGTTTAATTAATAATTGATGGATTTAAGAGGGGAAGTAGAGGGAGGAAGAGAAGGGAAAGCAGCACAGCCCAGTCGGCGCAGCAGCCGGCCGCTGGGCAGACCAGGCAGCAACGCTTCGGGTGAAGGGGGTTGAAATTCTCCGCCGAGAAAGTACGAAATATTAATTAAATTCTAATTAAATATATTAATTCAAAGATATACAATATGCCAAATTAAAATTAAGGGAGCAAACACACGAATACATTCATTGAAAACAGGGAAATATACAAAAATATGAATTAGCAGAGCAAAAATATTTGCAGAAATTGTAAGAAGTCACGAAAAGTTTTTGTAGGGAGTGATGGAATACACCCAAATGGGAACTAGGAGAGAGGAAATACAGAACCACATCAGTGAATATGTACAAACCAAATAAAGAAGCGTATGAACAGAGGGGAAGAAATACACGAAAATACGAATAAGATGGGGGAAATAAACAAAAATATTAGTGGAGATCGGCGAGTGAAACACAGAGGTATATTAACAAAGAAAGTAAAAAATAATTTAATATATCCGACGGAATACACAAAAGAAGAAGAAATACACAAAATGTTAAAGTACAAAGGAACAAGTTGAAAAGCTTTCTGATGGGGTTTACAGTTCTGTTGATACCAGCTCCAGCCTCACACTCCCCCGCTATGCCTGGCTTCATACGGTCTATGTGCAGCTCTAAACCCTAAACCCTAAACCCTAAACCCTAGATTTCGAACTTCAGCGCATGCTAAAGTTGCAGGTTTTCGAATTCCCCCAAGCTCTTCTTAGTGAAGAAATACGCAAAAAAATGCACAAACCACAATTTCCATACCCTGCTGCTCGAGCTAGAAAAGACACACAACCAGCTAGGGGCCCTCAAAGAGGGGGCCCCTCGGGAAAAGGGGGCCCCTAGGTGGGGTTCCCCCTAGCGGCGGGGCCCCCAGGGAGGGAGGGCCTCTGCTGGGGCGCGGTAGGGCCCCAGCGGCCGCAGGGCCCCCGAAGGAGCTTCGTGACAGCTGCCTGGTGGATTCTTAGCGGTGTTCCTAACCCCTAAACCCTAATACCTAAACCCTAAATACTCATACTAACGAGAAAACCCTAAACCCTGATGCCTACTTTGGCGCAGCTGCGTATTTTGGGCCTCTTCTTGGGTTTGTTTGGGGGCCCTGAGGGGCCCCCGTTTAGTGGGGGTTTTTCTGCAGTTCGGTTCCTCTTTTTCTTGTTCCTGCCAATCCTCTCCTTTGCTGGTGCTGCTGCTGCTTCTTCTACTGCTGCTGCTGCTCCTCCTCCTCCTATTGCTGCTGCTGCTGCTGTTGATGCTGCTGTTGCTGGGGTTGCGGGTCTGCAGATAGTGGCCAGGAAGAAGCCCCTGCACCGGTGGGTTTGTGGGGACGCCCGCACACAGAGCGAGCCAAAGGCGTCCAACGCATCCTTCAGCCTGCTGCTGCCGCTGCTGCTGCAGCTGCTGGCGCCGTCGTTGCATACGTTGCTGCTGCTGCTGCTGCTATTTTTCACTTGCTGCTGCATTTGCGCAACTGCTGCAGACGGCGGAAACCAGCCTGAGTGAAGAGGCGGACGACACACCTGCCAGCCCCCAACAATCCTTTTTTGTTGCTGTTGCTGCTGCTGCTGCTGCTGCTGCTGCTGCTGCTGTTGCTGCTGCAGTCCTACACTGAGCAGCACGGCTTCATTCTCATGCACGTACAACGAACACGTTGAATAGCAGACGACGGTGGCAGCAGGGAAAGCAGACAGCGCATGCTGCAGCAGCTTCTGCTGCACTGCAGCAAGACGTGAAACCCGGGCCTCATCTTGTGCTGGTGGCAGCACAGAGGGAAGTGGGGCCCCGTGAGGGGCCCCCAGAGGGGCCCCATGAGGGGCCCCCAGAGGGGCCCCCAGAGGGGCCTCATGCATAAGACCCCCAGACGGGCTACCGGCGCCGCCGCGAGTCTTCCACCCTTCCCAGCTCCAGCTCACCAGGTCCGGTGGTTCGTCGTCAGTAACAACAGAAGCAGAAGCAGCAGGACTAGTAGCTGCAGCAGCAGCAACAGCCGGAGCAGCTTTCGCTGCTGCTGGTGAAGGTTTGCCGCCGTTTGCGGTGCCAGCCACCCCTGTTGTCGCAGCAGCTTCCGCTGCTGCTGTTGCATCCGCTGCTGCACTTCCAGTTGCTGCTGCTGCTGCTGCTGCTGCTGTTGCTGTTGCTGTTGCTGCTGATGCATGCGTAGGAAGACCGCTGCCTGAACAGGAAGGATCTAAGAGAATTTTCTGTGCGCAGCTGAAGGGGGGAAGGGTCCCGCGGACAGCAGCAAAGTCTGCTCTTCGCACCTCCACCAGCAGCAGCGGCACAGATGCTGCTAGCTTATGATAGCTTGCTGCTGCGGGTGCAGCTGCTGCTGTTGCTGCTGCTGCTGCTGCTGCTGCGGTCGGTAGTACTGCTGCTGCAGATCGAGGCCGTTCATCAGACCGAGCAAAGTACAGAGGCTGCTTTCCCGCCAACTCTGCGAGCCTGAGGAACTCCTCCATGTCGCTGCTGCTGCTGCTGCTGCTGCTGCTGTTGTCGCTGCTGCTGCTGCTGGCCGCATGCTTCTGGGTGCAGCAAGGAGACAGGTAGGGCCCCCGCAGCCCAGCCTCCTGCTGCAGCCTGCGCAGCATTGCAGCAAGTCGCTTCGTGTCTCTCTCGAGGACGATCAGATGACCTCTTGCGCCCAACATATCTGCAGCAGCAGCAGCCGCAACAGCAGTAGCAGCAGCAGTAGCAGCAGCAGAAGTGCTTCGGGCGAGGCTAACAGCCGTAAGTACACCAGAAACAATAAGACAGCGAGGCGTCAGTGCAGCAGCAACAGCAGCAACAGCAGCAACAGCAGCAGCAGCATGGACAACAATGCAGCAGAACCAGCCAATACCAACACACGAGTATGAACGCCTGTATCTACCGTTGCATCAGCAGCAACCACGTTGCTGCTGCTGCTGCTGCTGCAATGAGAACAGCAGCAGCTCCGCAACGCCACTGCAGTCTACAGCAGCCGCAGCAGGTACAGTCAGCCCGAAAAAAATATAGAAAGATGAAGCCTCAATAGCCACAAAACCAACAAAATGTATCCGAGGTGCACAGACACTGCAGCGATGTGCTGCAGACGTGTACATACACCGGAAAATGTCTCAACAAAAAGAGAACGCCAAGCATAAGAACCACAAATGTACATATTTAAGCGCAGCAGCAGCAGCAGCAGAAGCAGCGGCAGCAAAAGAAGCAGCGCCAGCAGGAGCGAAACCAGCGGCAGCATAAGCAGCAGCAGCAGCAGCAGCAGCAGCAGCAGCAGCAGCAGCAGCAGCAGCAACAGCAGTATTTGTACCGATTATATGCAGCGTTTTGCTGCCTGGTGCAGCGCACGCCTCGAGGACGATATCCCCTTCTGCTACTGCAGCAGCAGCAGCAGCAGTGCAGCTGGCCCTGTCCTGAAGAGATACAAAGCCTCTTGGCACAAGCTCATGCAGCAGCAGCGATTGCTGCTTTTCTTGCTGCTGCTCTTGCTGCTGCTCTTGCTGCTGCTCTTGCTGCTGCTCTGGCCCCGCTTTGCTGTCCTTCTTCGAAGCCTCCGCCTTAACCTGTTGCTGCTTCTGCTGCTGTTCCTTCTGCATCTGCTGCTGATGCTCCTGCTGCTGCTGCTTTTGCCGCTGGTGCTGCTGTTGATGCTGCTCCGGGTGCTGCTGCAGCAGGCGTGCTGCAGCAGCAGGAACTGCAACGACACAAGGCAGCAGCGGATCTACGAGTGCCCAGCAGATGCAGGGGAAATTCTCGCTGAGAAATTTTGCTGCTGCTGCTGCATCCCACAGGCGTCTGTTCACCCGTAGGTACCTTGGAATTGCTGCTGCTGCTGCTGCTACTGCTGTTGCTGCTGCTGCGGGTGCCGCCTCCGCTGCTGCTGCTGCACTGAAAAGAGACCGCAGCTGCGACTCGTGCGCCAGCAGCTCCCGCCGCAGCTGCCCCCCTCCTTCTACTCCCTTTGGAGACAGCAACAAATCCCGCAGCATCAGCAGCAGCAGATACTCCTTCTTTGCTGCTGTTGTAGTTGCTGTCGCCTCAGCTCCTGCTGCATCTGTAGACATCGCCAGACCCACCCGGGATAAAAGCTGCTGCAGCAACGGCCGCAACGGCAGCGTCTTCGAGAGCAGCGCATACACCTGAGCAGCACCAGCAGAAGAAATAGCAGCGGCAGTAGCAGCAGCAGCAGCAGCAGCAGCAGCAGCAGCAGCAACACCACCTGCCCCATGACGCATTACCAGAGTTACCAGCAGTAGGAACAGCAGAAACGGCACTAGAAGCCGCAGAAACAACCGCAGCAGCAGTATCAGCATGAGCAGCAGCAAGAACACCAACAGCCGGAGCAGCAGCAGCAGCAGCAGCAGCAGCAGCAGCAGCAGCAGCAGCAGGAAGATCCTACCCTGGCTAGTGACTTTGGGGGGGGCCTGGCGTCTCCATAGAGCGCAGCCCTCAAGCCAATTTGCTTCGAGTCCATCTGCTGCAGCACTGCTGCAGCGTGCCGGTAGACGTCCGCCATAGAGAACGCAGCAGCAGCAGCAGCAAAAGGGGCAGCAGCAGCAGCAGCAGCAGCGACGCACTTTCAAGCAGCACTGCGTAGCGGGAGAGGCGGAAACCACACGAACATCGAACTCTCTGGAGTGCCCCGGCGGCAAAGTAGCACAAACCCTAAAACTCTAAACCCTAAACCCTAAACCCTAAACCCTAGACCTCCTATGGCGGCAGAGACCCCAGTGGCCGCCGCCAGCTCAGCCCCTAACACCACAGCTGCTGGCAACAGGAGGGAATAGGGGCCCCGGGGGCCCCCTGAGTCAGCAGCGAGGCGTTCCGTTGCCGCTGCGGAGAACGCCTAAACCCTAAACCCTAAACCCTAAACCCTTGACGTAAACCATCGGGCCCTAAGGTAAAAACTCCTCCTCAAGTAAGAACCCGCGGAGGTGTTTTCAGAAGTCAACAGAAGGTGAAACCCTCGCCACGACTGTCGCCTGTGTTGGGGCCCCCGGGGCCCCTGGAGGCCCCCTGGGGGCCCCCGTGGGGCCCCCCAATCCGTCGGCATCGGGGGCCCCACACAGGGGCGAAGAAGGCAGCGCAGCAGCAGCACCGTGAATCTTGTGGTGTTTTTTTTGTTTTGTTTTTTGTTTATGTTTGCCGTTGGAGAGTCATTTAGCGGCAAAAACAACAAAACTAAAACCCACACAGAAAAAAGGGTTTGCAGCCCTGACTCGAGGGTTTAGGGTTTAGGGTTTAGGGTTTAGGAAGGACGAGGGTTTGGTACTTAAGAAACGCTAAATGACGGCTCTTAGAAAACCGACTGAAAAACCCTAAACCCTACACCCTATGCTCTAAACCCTCACCCTAAACCCTCACCATAAACCCTCAGGATGAACCTGTGGACCATCTGCTCTTCCCGGGGGCCCCCAATGAGCTTCCGACTCGCTAGGGTTTTGGGTGGGGGGCCCCTAATCCACGGGGTCCTCCCCGTGGGGGCCCTCAGGGGGCCCCTTGCAGCTGCCGCGGGGCCTCATTCCCTGCCACACAGAGCACCCCAGGCAGCAGCAGCAGCAGCTGCTGCTGTTGCTGCTGCTGCTACCCCAGAAGGGTCTAGGGTAGGCTTCAAGCCCCGCTTCTTTTCTTCAGTTTCGGGGGGCACCCAGGGGCCCACCCCTGAAACAGAGAGGAGCCGAATACGAAACATAGGAATCAGCGCACACATCGACAGCGGCAAAACCACCCTTACTGAGCGCATTCTCTTCTATACAGGTAAGGGTTTAGGGTTTAGGGTTTAGGGTTTAGGGTTTGGCGGCGGCACAGACCAGGCACATGGAATTTGAGGGTTTTCTTTTGCTGACGTACAGACACCGATGCGTGGGTACGGGACTACAATACCGCGCAGGCGTGCAGGAGCGGGAACTAGAGGTTTTGGGTCTAGGGTTTAGGGTTTAGGGTTTAGGGTTTAGGGTTTGGGGTTTGTGGCAGGTAGAATTGCGGAGATCCACGAGGTGAGGGGTTCCGACGGCGTCGGAGCTAAGATGGACTCAATGGAACTCGAAAGGGAAAAAGGTCAGCCAAGCACTAAACCCTAAACCCTAAACCCTAAACCCTAAACCCGGAAACCCTAAACCCTAAACCCTAATCTCTGCATTCTAAACCCTAGACTCTGATCTTTGCCCTAGCATCAATCCGAACCTCCACTTCCTAATCCCTAGCTCCTGAGCCCTTCCCTGAATTCTAGTTTGCAGATGGTAAACCCTAAACCCTAAACCCTAAACCCTAAACCCTAAAATGCTACTGAGTTGGGGCCGCTTACTGCATGCTTCTTTCTTCTCTATGCCTCTCTCTTCTCCAGCGGTGCATCTTCCTGTAGGGGGGAGGGTCTAGGGTTTGGGGTTTAGGGTTTAGGGTTTATGTGCAGGGATAACAATTCAGTCGGCTGCGAGTTACTGCTCGTGGGCGCTGCCTGAGGAGCCCGCTGGGGGGCCCTCGGGGGGGGCCCCTGGGGGCCCCTATACAGTGAATTTGATTGATACCCCCGGCCATGTGGACTTTACTGTTGAGGTGGAGAGGGCGCTGAGAGTATTAGATGGAGCTGTTCTGGTGGTTTGTGGGGTTGCCGGTGTGCAGAGCCAAACCCTAACAGTCGACCGGCAGATGAGAAGGTAAACCCTAAACCCTAAACCCTAAACCCTCATGAGGCGCCTGGGAAAATCCTAACAAAACCCATGGAGTGGAAGGAGGGATCGGCTGCCACGAGAGTGGTCTCAGTTCACCGCTCATATCCAGCGGGTTAGGGTTTAGGGTTTAGGGTTTAGGGTTTAGGGTTTAGGGTTTAGGGTTGGTGTGCAGGTACGGGGTACCCCGATTGGTATTCGTGAACAAGCTGGACCGCGACGGAGCTGATCCGTGGAGGGCTTTGGCCGGCATTCGCAAACAACTCGGCATCAATGCATTCCCCATCCAAGTAAACCCTAAACCCTAAACCCTAAACCCTAATCCATCGACGTACACTCTATGGTGTGTTTTATTGGGGTTTAGGAATGGGCATTCTACGGCATTGCGTTTAGGGTTTAGAGTTAGGCTTTGTGTTAGGGGGCTCAGTTTATTATTGTTGTTTGACCTGAGGTGTCTGGTTTAGGGTTTAGGGTTTTAGGGTTTAGGGTTTAGGGTTTGGTTGCATGTTCAGGTTCCTATTGGTACAGAGGGAAGGCACCAAGGAGTAGTAGATTTGGTTTCTCTTGAGGCTGTTTACTTTCGCGGGGAGAAGGGCCAGCAAGTGGAGAGAACAACAGAAATCCCTGCTGCGCTGCAGCAGGAGGTGCAGCAGCGGCGGAGTGAGTTGGTGGAGGCGTTGGCTGAGAAGGATGAGGCGTTAGCTGAGGTGTACATACACCTCGGTGATAACATAAGTCCTAGAGATATTCATCAAGCTATTCGGAGACAAACATTAAAACATGAATTTGTTCCTCTTCTCATGGGCTCAGCCAAAGCAAATAAAGGAGTTCAGCCTCTCCTTGACGCCGTCTGTCGCTATCTACCCGCNTCATGGGCTCAGCCAAAGCAAATAAAGGAGTTCAGCCTCTCCTTGACGCCGTCTGTCGCTATCTACCCGCACCCCGTAAACCCTAACAAACCCTAACAAACCCTAACAAACCCTAACAAACCCTAACAAACCCTAACAAACCCTAACAAACCCTCATAAGCCTTAATACCCTAAATATGTCCTCTAAACCCCTATGCAGCAGCAACATATGAACCCTACGAAACCCAAACAAATGCCGAGAAACCCTAGTAAACCCTCGGTAGCCAGTATAAGCGCTAGTAAACAATAAACCGTAATAAACAAAAACTTTATTACATTCTTACACCCAACGAACCCGGATTCATAATCCCGGCAAGGCCAAAGAACATCAGAATATATTCAAACACGTAGTCCGAGGGCCGAGGGTTTAGGGTTTAGGGTTTAGGGTTTGGCGTCTGCAGATGACCGGGTTCAAGTGGCGAAGGATCTAGAGAGAGGCGAGGCGGAGGTTGAGTTATCTTGCGACCCGAAGAAGCCCCTTGTTGCCATGGCTTTTAAGATTCAGGTATATGCTCCTTGTCTCCTTAAAACCCTAAACCCTAAACCCTAATTCTAAACCCTAGTTCTAAACCCTAACTCTAAACCCTAACACTAAACCCTAGCCCTAAGCCCAACTGTAAACCCTAATTCGCGTTCGAATTGACTCCTGAATGCATACCCTAATGTGTTGTAGACCCTAAACCCTTAGACACTAACTATGAACCCTCAAACCCTAACTGTAAACCCTTAAACCCTAATTGTAACCCCTTAAACCCTAATTGTAAACTCTTACGCCACAGCTTCTTTCTTAGTCCTTGAACCTGATCCGTGGTTGATATCTCGTTCAGTTTCTGTTGTTTTTATTTTACACACATGTAGTTGAATCTGGAGAGTTAATAGGGGTTAATAAGGGTTAATAAGGGTTAATAAGGGTTTAGGGTTTAGGGTTTAGGGTTTAGGGTTTGTGTTGTGTTTTCAGGAGTTGCCTATTGGGCAGCTAACATATTTACGTTTGTATCAGGGTTCTTTACGTCGGGGTGAATC